CCTGGTGGGTGTGCAGGGGGCAGAATGAAGTAGAGCAAGGCCTCGGGTAAAATAGCATGGCCTCAGCGGGGCTCAGCTCTGAATTTAAGGCAGAGTCAGCTATGTGTGTATGCTGCCTTTGTCTTGACCTTTACTGACATCAGAGCTGCTAGTAAATTCTGCTTCTATTTAGAATAGGAGCAAAATCCCAGGATTCAGTGGTTTTAGTACCAATGTTGGTCCCACCTTGCCCTTTACCTTGTCAACCCCAATCCTTTATGTAGTATTTCTCTCCCTGAGGAAGCCTTCTTTCTTTGGCCTTTTTCATCAATCCTTTGGACTCTTTTGTACGTGTACACTTTATGTAGCTCTGACTGTTTTGAGTGTGTACCCCTTGAGGGCCTTAAGTTCTGTCCTAGGTGCTATACAAAGAAAGTTACAGAGAACTCATATCCACAACTTCTGATTCAAGACCACAATGGTGTGAATGAGTAACTTTGTGTGTCAAGCTAAGTACAGTTTGGTGGGAAGGCAAAAATGACCCATCGAGGCATAGTGTAGCCCTGTTCAGACACTACTCCCCAGGGTGGTTGCTAGGGAGGAGGATTTCCTAAACAGTTTGTCAGATAGGAGGATAGCCCCATGTGTTCTATATAGGTATTTCTTTTGTTAATCTCACCTGAGGATATTTTTCCATTGTTTTTTAGAGAGTGGAAGGGAGAGAGAGACAGAAACATTGATGTGAGAGAGACACATTGATTGGTTCCCTACAACCCAGGTAACATATCCTTGACCAGAATCAAACTCGGGATCCTTCAGTCCCCAGGCTGATGCTCTTTCCACTGAGCCAAACCAGCTAGGGTTACCCCCGTGTGTTCTAAAAACCTGTGAAACCAGGACTCCCCTCCCCCACAACCCCCCCGCACCAGTGAGCAGGATGAAGCCAGCATCTCAGATGACAGCCTCCACCTTTGGATCAGAGCTCCCCTGTGGCTCTCTGGATGATGGTTGATGAACAGGGGGTGTGTAACTTAAGGGTAAGATCCAGGGCTCTAGAATCGAACATACCATGTACTAGTGAGACTTTGGGCAAGAAACTTCACTGAGCCTTCATTTCTCCATCTTAGTGAACAAATATCGAGCCCCCACTCTGTACCAAGCTCTGCTCTAGGTGCTGGGGAATACATTAATAAAGGAACAATAGAAAAATCCCACCTCATGGAGTTAACATTCTAGTGGGGACAATCAAAATATATAAAATAGATATAAACGGTGATACATGTCTTGGAGAGAAACGAGGGCCTGAGGCGTTTGTGTGTGATGGTGGTGGTGAGATTGCAGTTTTAAATAGGGTGGTCATAAAAGGACATCGCCAAAGGTAATGAACAAAGAACTGAGAAGTTAGTGGGCGACCTAAGCAGATGTTTAGGGAAGAGGGTCCCAAGAAGGGAACAAGTGTAAAGACCTTGATGTGTGAGCGAGCCTGGTGTGTTTGGGAAATACCAGACGACCAGCGTGGCTGGGACAGAGTGTGCTGGGAGGACAGGAGACAAAGTCAGCGTAGAGATGAAGCAGATTTTACAGTGACTTACAGGCCATTGTAGGAACTCAGGGAGAGAGAGGAGAGTGTGGGCTAGTAAGCGGAGTTCTCTGCCTCTGTTGGCCAGAGGAGAAAAAGAAGGATCCAGCATAGGTGGGGACTTCCAGCCAAGTTTAAGGTGACATGGATGGAGGAGGGCCCAGACTTCAGAAAATGCGCAGACCTCAGTCTGGAGTCCTGTGTCTCCAGAGGGTCTGGGGCTGCAGAAGGTTTTATTTGGGGCAACACAAGCCCAAATCAATAATGGAACGAAGGGATTGGTTATTCCCTGGATTTCAAAACCTTCCATCTTTGCATGGGTCAGAGACACCTGCCACCCCCGTCCCTGCTCCTGCTGCGTGGAGCAGCCTTGCTGGCCTACAAAGCTGAGGCTGGGAGCCCCCAGGGGCACAGGTCAGAGCTCCCCTCGTCGTCCCCTTAATGGAAATGGTGGGACTGTCACTTCTGCTCTCATCATCCAGGTCCAGGTCTTTTCTCACGGGCCTGGGAGCCCCTGGGAAGTCGGAACCAAGTCTTCTAATATTTTGCTGCCAGGCCCTGGCAAGACGCCAGGTACGCCCTGCTGCAACGATTTTCAGCCTTTTTCATCTCATGGCACACACAAACTTACTAATAAAATTCTGTGGCACATCAAAAATGTATTTTTGCTGATCTGACCAAAAATGGTATAATTTTGATTGATTTACAAAATAGTAATAGTAATTACCTACTCTTTTTGCTCCAAAGTGACTTTTTAAAAAATCAAGGGACTTACTTGTATATGAGGATTTCTGGTACCAAGAATTAACCAATCACATACAACCTTATTCGACATGACCAATAAGATGCAACTCTATTATATGACGTATATTTATGGCGTAAGACAGGGTCACACCAGGCAGCTGTTGCGTTGGCTGTTGTCATTTTTTAATTTGACAATCTAAAGGAAAAGAGGTAGTGCCCCTGAACTAAGTAGCCAGGTATTGCATGCTTTAAAAATTCTTACAGCACACCAGTTGAAAATTGCTGCTCTACTGGGACCAATAACACCTGGCCGACTCCTTGTCCCAGCTGTGCAAAGGCTGGGGAAGGGATTTGCTCAAAATTACACAGCAGGTCACCGTCCTGACCATCCCCAGGTTCTTCCATCAGATATCCCTCAAGCATGGTGTGCCATCCTAACGCTCACAATTCGGGATGTGCCCAGGTGAAGGAACCCCACCCTCTGCCCTCCCTTTCTGGAGTGGAGCCCCTGCCCATCCTGCCCAGGCAGTGGAGGCCCAGCCCCAATCCATGAGAAATTAAGCCCAACAACTCACATCCTGGTTTGTACCCAAGTTGTGGGCTTTTATTTACAGAAAGGCCGGTATGGATCTAGGGGAGGGAGGATGGGAGACGGTGATGCCAGAAAGAAGGGAGGGGGTTTTAAATACTCAGGAGGGAGGCAGGGAGGAATGAGTAGGGATGGCTTAAGGATGGCCACCTATTGGCAGTCACCCAGGAGGCCC